AAATATTTATTGAGAGCCTCCTATGTCTCAGGTACTTTTCAGAATCCTTTTCCACAACATGCTACATATTTTAAGTTTGGTTGTTTCTATTTATGGTTAAGTTGGGACATACTCCCATATGGCTTGTGCATATTAGTTCTCAATAACTGCTTTTTGAACAGAATGTAAAATTATTTTTTATACTATGATGATTACACAAAAAATTTAAGACAAAAACAAAATTATAAATTCAAATAGCCCAGCTTTTCAAATATCCTTTCACCTGGCCCTAAATAACTTGATTTCAGTAAGCTTCAACTCCTTGATATAATCTTAATTACATTTAAGCATAAGCACTTAAGCATGGTACATACAAGTACCATGAATTTGTCAGAAAAATCATTAAGGTATATAAAATGTGTGACTCATAGTAGGCTTTTTAAAAACAGCTTTGTTTAGATGTAATTCACATACCATAAAATTCACCCTTTTAAAATGTTCAACTCAGTGTTTTTTAGTATATTCCCAGAGTTGCGCAACCCTCACCATAATCTAATTTGAAGCATTTACAATACTCCAAGAAGAAATCCACTCCCATTGGTACTCCCTCCCGATTCACCCTTCTCCCTAGTCCTCGGCAACAACTAATCTATTTTCTATCTCTATGGATTTGCCTATTCTGGATATTTCATATAAATGGAATTAGGCAACACATGTGGCCTTTCATGTCTGGCTTCTTTCACTTAGAATGTTCTCAAGGTTCACCAATGTTGTACCATATATCAGTACATCATTCTTTTTATGGTTGCATACTTCACTGTGGATATCCCACATTTTGTTTATCTATTCATCAGTTGATGGGTACTGGATCCTTTGCACTTTTGGGGTATTATGAATAATGCTACCATGACAAAGATGACTTACAAGTTTTTGTGTGGACATATGCTTTCATTTTTCTTGGTTATACATCTAGGATCTGGAATTGCTGGATCATGTGATAATTCTATGTGTACGTAACCTTTTGAAGAACTGTTGTTTTACAAAGTGTCTGCACTTTATAAAATCCCAAAAGCAATGTATAAGAGTTCTGTTTCCTCCACATTTTTGTCAACACTTGATATTGTCGATTTTTTTTATTAGAGCCACCCTCATGGGTGTGAAGTATATCTCACTGTGGGTTTTGATTTGCGTTTCCCTAATGGCTAATGATTTGGTTTTTTTTTTTTTTTTTCATTGCTGTCTGAATATCTTCTTTGGAGAAATGTCTATTCAAATTATTTGACTATTTAAAGGACTGGGCTGTCTTTTAATTACTGAGTTCTAAGACTTTGTTATCTATTCTTTGTATATTTTAAAGTCCCTTGTCAGATACATGATTTGTAAATAGAGTCTCTCATTCTTCAGTTTCTCTTTTCACTTTCTCTATGGTGTCCTCTGAAGCACAAAGCTTTTAGTTTTGATGAAGTCCAATTTATTTTTTCTTTTGTCATTTGTGCTTTTGTGTCACATCTAACAAATCACTGCCTGATCCTCAGGCACTGAGATTTCCTAATTTCATCTAAGGATTTGATAGTTTTAGCTCTTACATTCATCCATTTTGAATAAACTTTTATATATGTTGTGCGGTAAGGGTCTAGCTTTATTGTTTTGTATGCAGCTATCCAGTTGTCCCAGCACCATCTGTTGAAAAGACTGTTCTTTCTCCCATTGAATTGTCTTGGCACCTTGCAAAGTCAATTGACCGTGAACATATGGATTTATTTCCGGACTCTATTCCACTGATCTTTATGTTAATCTTTATGCCAGTACCACATGGTCTTGATGTCTATAGCTTTGTAGTAATTTTTTTTAAGATTTTATTTATTTATTTTAGAGAGAGAGCATGCAGAGGGAGGAATGCAGGGGAGATGGAGAGAGAATCTCAAGCGGACTCCTCACTGAGCATGGAGCCCCCTATTGCTTGTCTTCTTGCTACCCTTTGGTTGATAGTTGCTAAAATTTCCTGTTTTTCTTGCCTATTCAGTAACTGTAATTTTGGTTTAGAATCATATTTTCCCAAACTTCTGCTAGTTTTCGTCACAGCACCAAAATATGCTAGACAGATGATTTTCCAGGATGGAATCATTAGGAATTCTTTTCAGATGGGAGTATCAAGGAATTGGATTTGCCCTTCTCTTTCCTACCCTGATCTCTTTGCTATCATTTGCAAGGAATTGCAAGTTCTCTGGACTCCGTAGGGCAGAAAACAATTCCCATTTCCAAGGCTGGCAATCATTTCTGCTTTGAGTTTCCTGAAGTATCATTTCCCCCGGGGGAAGACTTTCCAGATTAAGATATAGAGTGGACAGGATTCCATAGTGAGTATGCAGTCTTACACAGCCCACCACTTCCTCCCCCCAATCCCACAAGATAAAATCGGAAAAAAAGAGCCTTCATGTATGTTAAAATTTTGTATTTTCATATGTTTGTTTATATCTGTCTGTTCCTAACTTGGTACATTTTTCCTGTGTTTACCCCAACCTGTTAAAATGTATCTTGTTTTAGGATCTAAATGGAAGTTTCCTTATCTCCCTCCAGGTTCCTGTTATGCTAGCTGTGCTAGGCACATAATGGGTACTTAGTAAATATTATTTGAGACTTATTTTATTAATTGTCTTGTCTTCTGTTTCAGAACACCAGCTACTGAAAGGCTAAAGGTAGAGCTCAGTGTGGTGTTTAAGACACAGAGCAACAGATAGCCCCTCAAAAGCAGTGATGAAATCTAAGTAATCTCCCTTTTCTAGTTAGCCATGGGGGCTACCAGATCCCAGTTGGGTAGTGACCAGAAGTTTTTATTTCCTCTTGAGTTGATTTAAGGAATAGGTTGGAACGACCTAAGCAAAAGGCTAACTGCTGGGATCCTGCCAGTTACCGATGTTCCTCCTCCGCCATGGCAAATTAAAAGCCCTGGCCAGCGTCAGGACACCGGGATCACAATTCTAATTTCTCCAAACTGAAAAACCTTGGGAACTCATTCTCCATTAACTACTTCATTCAGTAAATATTAGCTCTAACTCTAGGCCAGGTACAGTGCTAGGGGGATGTCACCAAAAGAGCAAACATGACAAAGTATTTTCATTCAGGGAATTTACATGTCAACGAAAGGTTTAGGGAAGGGGGGGGCGGGGGGAAGAGTACACCATAGCCTACAGCTATTTCCCCATTTCTTACGAAAGGTGGGATAGCTTCCAGGTTCAATTTGAATGTTTAGGGCCTGTCACTGATCAAAGCTCAGAATACAGCAAAAGCTGCCCGCTACTATGAAGTCAGTACATGGTTGATCATATGAATACTTTGGCTTTCCTTTACGGAGAGGGTACAACAAACACAGTTGCCCATAACGCTTCAATATTCTACTCGGCCTCGGTGTGCATCACCTGACTCGGACCTCTGGTTAGCAGCTGCACCTATCTTCCAAAGGCCCGAGGTGTTAGGCATCTGGCATTTCGAAAGGCTGGTTGAAGGGCTTCCTTCGCCCAAGTCATGTATTTGCCAGTCGACATGGGATAGGGGTGCAGAAAAGTTGCTTTCGGTTGAGGAGGGTAGCAAGGTCCTGGGGAGGACGCGAGGCATCACGCTATTTTCACATTTTAATCCGAAGAACTGAATCAAAAGTCGGCAGTGGTGCCACGGCCCTGCAGAGGGCATGGAGGTTTTAAGGCAGCGCTCCGTCCTCCAACCGAGCCCGGAAGCTTCCTTCGGAACGCACGCTGTCAAAGCGGCGTAGCTTCCCCACACAGCGCCCATCCCGCCACCATCCGCAGCAGCAGCGCACAATGGCGCAGCACCGAAACCCGCGGCTGAGGAGCGGGGAGCGCAGGACTGCGGCCGCCTCCTCGCCCGCAGCTACCAGAAACGCCTTGCCCCCGCAGGCCGCCCGCTCCGCAGCGCTCTCCCTCCCGCGCCCCACCC